TTTTGGTCAAAAAAAAACTTTTAAAAAACAAAAAAAAATACCAATTAGTAAAATTTTTTTAAAAAAAAAAAAAAAAAAAAAAAAAAAGAGGAAATAGTAGGTAAAAAAAAACTAATACTTATCTTGGTTTTAGAACAATTTTGATTTTTAAATCTTCGTTTTTAAAAGTTTTGCACAAAAACACAAAGTACATGTGATAGGATAATCAAATGCCAGGAGAAACAGGGATCATGTGCTTCTTGATCTTCCTTATTAGTCCTGAACGTTTCCTGGAGCTTCCTCTTTCACGGTCAGGATCAAGTCCTCCAGCTTTACCTTGATCATTATTACATTTCAAAAAGTCACAAGAATGAAAACCGATAACTGTTGAGTCAATTCCTGCCCCCTGGTGGTTAAAACGCACAAAATTATAGATGCACACACGTTTCGAAAGTCTTTTGAAGCCTCTCCCAAACTACAAATCCTAAAATAATCTGTTTAAACAGTTATAAGTATTTATAACTTTTTTAATTAGGTCACCAAAGCCCTGGGAAAATAGCAAAACCAATTTAAATTCGAGTAAAAAAATAAATAAAAATTTGGGACGTTAAGCCAATTGTACCTACGTAGAGGGGGTGTTCTGATAGTCAGAACACCGCAATATTATTTATTCTCATAATTAAAAAAAGTATCTTAGTCTGGTCTTAATACTCCGTAATACACATAAAAAGCAAAAATAGTTAAATTTTTAAAATGTGATAAAATAATTAAGAATTTTATTTATGTATTTTCAAGGAAAACTTCGATAAGTTGAGCGTTTTTCCTATGGTGCGCTGCAATATCATTCCACACCTATTGGTGGCGCGGCGTTGTTTTGGTTACTGTAGCCAAGAAGAAGAAAAAGTTGAAAACAGGAAGTGTTTGTAAACAAATACGTGACGGATACCAAACGGGGTTAAGCAGTATTCTTACACATTTTTTTCTCTTTTTTGATGAAATGAGAGAAATGTAGCAGAGAGTTGAAGATGGGGGACAACCAGCGGGAGGATGTCGGAGGAGGAAACTCGGACTGGATGTCCCGTCTGCCGGAGGAGCTCCTGGACGTCCCGCTTTGGAACCTGGCTATTCCTGGTAACACCTGAACCGCTCAGGAAATACCCAAACGTTGTTTTAAATCTTAATACTAACCGTCTGTGTGTGTGACAGGGAGTCATGACAGCATGTCCTTCTGCCTGGACATGTCCTCCCCGGTGCTCAAGTCGGAGCCTTGGCTTCTCCGGCTGACGGACCGACTCTTCCCCTGCTTGACCCGACCCTGTATTTACCGCTGGTCCACCACACAGGTACCGGGGTCTGATGCAAATCTTTGTTTCATGTCTTTTAGTGGTCATCTTTATGATATTTTTTCTTGCAGCAATCTGTCCTCTGGTATCAGTGTGAGCTCGGTATTCGCTACTTGGACCTGCGGATCGCCAGGAAGCCAGCAGGGGGCAGCAGTTTGTTCTTCGCCCACGGGATCTACACGCTGATGAGCGTCAAGGTGTGTGAAGGAGACAGAAGGAGAGGTGTAAAAGAAGCACTACTTCAACATATTTTTACTCAAGTAAAAGTAAAAAGTACCCATCCAAGAAATTACTCAAGCGTAAAAAATATTTGGTAAAATGTCCACGCAAGTACTGAGTAACTGATCCTAACCAAAATAATTTAATAATTAAAAATGACATACTCAGACGGACCAAAATGTAAAGTTAAGTGGACATTTTGGTGTTTTAAGGATCAAAATGACAATAATGTGTATGAAGTAACAAAAAATAACAAAATCAGGCAGAAGAAAATCTTTCCAAATGAGTTTAATAAAAAGAAAAAACTTATAGGTGTGTGTTGCTGTCTGGGGAAGTTTTGGTTAAAACATGTTTTTCATTTAGTGGGTAGAGAATTCAGAAATTTTACTCGAGTAAGAGTTTTAATACTTCATAATAAAATTACTCAATTAAAAGTAAAAAATGTTCTCAAAAAAGTTACTCATGTAAATGTAATTGAGCAACTATTTATGGACAGAAGAAAAGCTGGGTTCTTTATTCTGGGTTCATGTGTTTCTGTGTGTGTAGGAGGCTCTGGAGGAGCTGGCATCGTGGCTGGACGCTCATCCCAAAGAGGTCATCATCATCTCCTGCTCTCACTTTGAGTCTCTGACTGATGAAGATCACGTCCAGCTGGTGGACTTCATCCTCTCGCTCTTCAGCACGAAGCTCTGTTTGTCACAGGTTGAGAATCAAAGCATCTCCTAAAGACACACAAGTTATCAGTGAACTTTATGTGCATGTGCTGTGTGTGCAGGACACTCCCACGTTGCGTTCCTGTTGGTCTGGAGGTCAGCAGGTCATTCTCTCCTATGATGACCTGCAGATGGAGTGTCAGCACCGCCAGCTGTGGCCAAAGATACCTTACTGGTGAATTTAGCACACATTTAGAAGCCATATTTCCTTCCACAAAAAAAAAATAAAAAAATTCACAAATATATTACTATCTGGCCTCTTGGGGGCGCTGTGTCTGCAGGTACGCTGACAGCCCAGATCCAAAGGAAGTGATCGCTTATCTGGAGGAAAAGAAACGCCAAGGAAGACCAGGTACTTCAGTTTTAAACCTGTAAAACAAGTTGAGTCCCATTAAAACCTTAAAGGAATGTTTCTGCAAGTTTCACTGTAGGGTAGCGTGTTCGTAGTCAGTATCTTACCTGGAGCAAACGGAGAATCAGGAAGGAATGTGGACTGACAGACCAAACAGACTTAGTGTTTTGTGTTTCCAGGCAGTTTTTACGTCAGCGGTCTGAACCTGACTGAAGACGCTCGCTACATCCTCCTCCACCCCCTCCAGAATCTGAGGATAATGACGGTGGAGGCGCTCTCACCGCTGCTCCGTTGGACCGCAGAGCAGCGCCCTGGCCCGGGAGTGGGCCGAGTCAACATCGTGTGCTGCGACTTCGTAGGTTTCAGCCAGTTCTGTTCGATCGTGATCGGCCTGAACTTCAAGCTGGTGAAAGCTGCAGCCAGGACTTCCTCTGGTTACCTCCGGGATGAACCGCTTGAACCGGTTCCACTGGTTTAGTTGGGAACAGGGGTCACCAACTCCAGTCCTCGAGTGCTACCATCCTGTAACTTTTAGATGCGTCTCTGCTCAAACACACCTGGATCAAATAAACTCCTCTTTTCCAGCCTATTGCAGAGAGGAATGAATGCTGGTGAGGGAATTCAGACGTTTTGGAGCAGAGGTGAATCTAAAAGTTGCAGGATGGAAGCCCTTGAGGACTGGAGTTGGTGACCCCTGGTTGGGAACATTAGTGCTCAGTGTTACAGAAAAACATTTGGAGCAAGTTACCAGAATCTCCACACTGTTGTGTGCAATCTCAACCGCAATTAATTTGTTCCTCATGTTTATTATCAATTAATTCATCTTAAACTTTGCTTCACAATTATTGATCAAATTTCAATCAATTTAACTGCAAACTGTTACACATTCAAACACATTCCTAAGTAGCAAATCATCTGTATATATATATATTATATATATATATATATATATATATATATATGTGTAAAAAATTATTTAAATCAGTGTTTTCTTCTGTGAAATCAAATATTTTTGTACAACTAAATGAACTCAATACAGTTGGTTGGGCTCGCACAAATCTGTTTAAGGGTCTTTTTTATTTTAGTTTTATGCTAAAAGGCTTTAATTTAAATATTCACCATCTTCTCATTACTTATTAGTCACTCTGTCTATATGTCAGCACACAAATCAGAGATATCTACTAAATTAACAAGTACCAGAGAATTGGAAAATGTCTAAATTACTTGATTTCCTGAATAAATTACGACCAAAAAACCCATTTTTATATCAAATAAAAACTGGTTGCGTTATGTCTTCAACTCTCATTGAGTAAATTTGTTCCCACAGACGAACAAATGAGGACAATTTTTTTTTTTTTAGGAGGAGCTGAACCTCCCAAAGTAATTTAAAAAAACGCACCATCACACTTTCCCACACAAGTTTATTCAACCATGACATCTCTTTCCAGGATGACAGAGAAACAATCTCCAGCTGAAGTTATAATAAAAACAGTGCACAGCAGGTTAATGGCTGAATCCTTATGTATCTGTTCATACATTTTATATCTGTGCTCCCAAACTTTGAAAGCAAATCACATCATACGTTACAGTCGGAGTAAAAAAAGCAGTTGATTTAAAAAAAATAAAAAACCTAATAAATATCCCTTTGTTATTGATATAAAATATAGTTTTAAAATATTCTCCATCTTGTAGCAAAGTGATAAATGGATAATACTCATGTGCCATGGGCTGCAGTCAGTGTACAGAAGTGAAAAATATACATTTCACAGAGAAGAATCATCTAATCTTTGGTTTGTTCAGTCAGTTGGGTTTACTGGATTTACACGCCTACTCACCTGTTTTTCTGTGGAATGTGATTCCAAGTTATTTGCATATTTTTGGTTGAGCATATCTAAAAAAAATTAAAAGAAAAGGCAGCTGGGGAAGCTGAAATGCCTTCCCCAGCTGATTTATTTTCCTTGCAGCTGATTGGCTGAACACCCAAAAGCAGAGATAAAATAGACTGTAGATGTTAGCTTCTGTGGTAGCGCTAAGACGGTTTCCACACTGCATAATAATGCATATTGAAGAATATTTTTGTTAGAACTATTAAAATAGTCAGTTATAAGCATTTTTAGCGGGCGGCTATGGTCCCTAAGACCAGATAAAAATGTGTAAAAAGCCTCTTTATTACAGTAGCATCATCACTTCCTGGAGAAATTGAAAAATCCAACTTTTAATTTGAAAGCCCATTCTTCTATGCCACTCTCCAACATGGAAAAGACAAGTGAACATAGCATTGGAGCAAAGCAGATGTCTTAGTCTTCATATGGCAAAAAAAAACGGAAAATGTTTCTCCTCCAAACAACCAGGATAACTTAAGAGTTTCTGGCAACTTGTTCATCATTACTGTAATGTTCCAATTAGGGCAGACAGAAGGTGGTAGTTACAATCTTTAAGAAAGGGGATTATGGGGGAGTCACTCCTCTGGGCCTTTTTGGAAAACTGTCTTTCTGGGTGTTGGAGGGAATGATCCAGACCAGTTGTTGGACCATTATATTCAGGAAGAGCACCGTAATGAGGTGTTCACCATTAATTATCCAATCCAAATTGATTTTGTGGATGTGGAGAAAGGTTACGACCTTGTTCCCCAATGAATTTTGTTGGAGTATCCAGTCCTTGAAGATCCAATCCAAGACTTACGATCGCTGTTTGCATTCTAGGCACAAAGTTGGTCTTCTCTAGGATAAACCTAGAGAAGACCAAGGTGTAGTTGCAGCTTGCTTGAGAACCTCAGGAACTCATCTTTGGTTTTTGCAGACTATATGATTCTGTTTGCATCTTCAAGCCACTAGTAGCTCTACTGGTAGAGCCACTGCTCTTCCACATTGAAGTAAATCGAGGTGCTTTGGATGCTTCATTGGATGGTCTTTAGAGTTTTCTCCAGGCATTTTGCACTGAGGAGATACGTGAAGACACCCAGAATCCACTTGGAGGAGTGCATTACCTTCCAAATGTCCTGGAATCTCCTAACATAGCTGCAGAGAATCACTTGGAACAGGTTTCCCTCCTGAACTTGTTACCCATGTAACTTAATCTCAGAAAGTTGGAGAACAAAGGAAGGATGGATGAATGAACTACAATAAAGGAAGATTAATTCCTGGCCTGCCTTAACTTTAGAGTAGTGAAGCAGTTTGAAACCCAAGGTAAGCAAGAAAACAATGATATTCCTCCAACATAAGACTGAGTCACCTGAGTTTAACCAGATGTGTAGGATGATTCTCTCTAGCACCATAAATCCAGGCTAAACAAACATAAAGTGATATTTCATGATAAAAACATATATACAATGCAACACAAACGGTGTACGGACAAATTAAAGCTTAGACTAGATCTATCTTTGCCTGCTGTCACGGATGTAGCTGTTCTCGACACACAGCACGACGTAGGAGCTGGAGCAGCTGCTGGAGCTCTGCTGCAACAGGCTGCGGCTCTGCAGCGGCGAAGCCATGCCCGTCAGCGCCCGTTCCCCGACGCGCCACGCCTCGCAGTAGTTGTTGACGTCCCGCTGACCCCTGCTTGTCGACCCGTGCCACATCATCTTCTCTGGCCTTGGAGCGGCAAACAAAGCGGCTGTAGCGAGCCTTTATGTTCAGATTTTAGTTTTGTGTGGAGTGTTGCCTCACCATGTGTCGTCTTGGAGAACATCTTTGCCGTCGAAGGAGTAGATCGAAACATTGTCCCTCATTCTGCCGTCGCTGAAAATGCGGTTCCAGTTGTCGAACAGAACCTCATCCTGCAAACAAACATGCATCAGAATTAGGTTTTACAAATTTAGGGCTTTATTTTACCAAGGAGATTAGCTTCAGCACCTTCAGGTTGACTATTGGCACGTTTTCCCTGTTGGAGCTGTAAACGATGCTGTTGAGATCTTCCAGTTTGGAGGACAGGAAGGCTCGGAAAGTTCCCTTCATCCCGATGGCCTGGGCCTGGGTGAAGCACAGGAAGTCTGCGCCGGAGATGCCTCGCATGCCGCCCTTCTGAGGGCTGTTCAGCGCAATCAGGTGGAGCTGGGGAAACAAACCACACATCTCAAAGAATACTTGAGAAGATTTTGACTGACTCAATTCTTCAGAAAACAACAAAGGGGCTTTTCTTGGTTGTTAAAGTTGTCCACGCAATATATCTGGATGTTATGGAGGAGTGGCAAGAAGAAGAAGAAGTCCTGTTGGACAAATCCATGTAAAAAACCAAAACTGGCGTTTTTGGATTGCAACCAAAATCCAACAGGGTGCAACTGTGTACTCAAAATATTATTTTTACCAAGACTTGCTCTTCGTGTCATTGTAAATATACTTCCATCTTGACTTACCGCTGGTCCTGAGGTGTGTCTGTGGATGGGAGCCTGGGGAACCGGAGGCGGCGGTCTCTGAGGACGGGTGACCGGGTAGCGGGGGTCCAAATACCGACCGTCCGGCTGGTTGAAGCGGTCCGTGTAACTCGGGTATCTGGGATTTGATGGCTGTGGGTAAACCAGATCTGTCTGGTACCGAGAGTCAGGTCGGTACCGGGGATCAGAGTCTGGGTTTGACTGTGATGGGGACTGGATGACGGGGCGCGACGCCTCGACTGCAACGCCCTGAAAATAATGTTTAATGGGTTAAAAAGCAAGAAGAGTCGTGTGGTTTAAAAACTTAAAACAGGAAACCACACTCACCGATTCACTTGGTAAAGAAATGTAGTTCCCAAGCTGAAAGTAACAAAAAATTTGTAGTTTTAAACAGTTTTTGTGGCAAATTTTGGATCATTACTCAGAAACAAGTTTCACCTGAACTTGTCGGACTCCATCCCGGACTCGTACGTAGAGATCCGTTTGGTCGATAACGTACACCAGAGATCCTTCAGGCTGCCTTCTAGCTGTGGCCGCCATGGTGTCGTAAGACCTAAAGACTGTCACCTGAAAACACAAAACAATGACTCAGCATCTTCTTAGATTGTTTTATTCATTTGTTTGATTCTTTATGCTATAATGGATCCAACAGGAGAAAAAAACAGCTGCAAGTCCATGAAGATTGTTCAGTTTATGGTTTTCAAGTAATTATTTACAGAATTATCCTCGTCGTTGGTATACTTTTCATAATATTTGAGATTAAAAATTGTATGCATCAATCTAAAAATATCTAAGTGAACAAAAACTCACTCCTGAGGAGAGTCCTGGAAGACCTGGAGCTCCAGGAGGTCCTGGGGGTCCAGGAATACTGATAGCTGCAATAAAACACAGAAAAAGAAAAACCTTAAACACATCTTTAGACCGAAGCTAATTTTATTCCTTTTTCTTGTTTTTATTTTTCTTCTACAGTTTTTCAAAACCACAGTTTGTCCAATAAAATAATAAAAAATATATCCATCCTACTTTTGCAGTCATATCTAAAAAATTACCAAAATATCAATTTTAAGAATAAAACTATGGTAACGATGCCAGCTCTACTTTTAGTTTTTTGGGGGGTTTATTAACATCATTGTTAAGAGTTTGTCATTGTCATAATTAATAAAAAGTAATAATGTGATGTGTGACAGTTTCTGCAGCTGTTTTATCATAATGTGTGGGTCATTATTAAATTAGACAGATGTGAATAAACAGGTAAGTTCTTTAATTTCCCATAAATTTGTTTGTGGAGTTACTCATTTAAATTTCAACATCCAGAGTACAAATGAAATACACTCCAAAGAAAACATAATAACCATATTAAAAATTTTATTATGAAGCAGTAGGTAACTTTAGATGAGAAAAGAGAATTTGTTTTTGTAATTGGACTCACTCTGTGTTCCTCCATAGGGCCCAGATAAGGCTGGACCTGGAGGTCCGGGTGGCCCTGGTGGTCCAGGTCGACCGTCATAACCTCTTCCTGGGGCTCCAGGAGGCCCCTGAGGGCCCGGTGGACCAACAACCGATTCTCCTTTCGGACCCTGGTCAGAGAGACACCTTTGATTGTCAGAATACTGGAATGTCACTCAGACAGAAAAAAGTAGAAATTTGTTTGTTTTCCATTCAGAGTTAATAACTTCTAGTTTTTTAAAATGCTGGTATGTAGGAAATGCCAGACGTCTGTCTTTGTGTCACTTATGGCTGTAAAATATATATATTGTATGTTTTCAGAGCATAAGTGCTAGCAGAAAATATCATGCTTCTACGTTGTGGATTCATTTTCAAGTGGACATTTATTTAAAATACATATATTTTCACCAAACCAATCACATGTGTAACATTTCATTAGTGCCCGAGTGTCTCTGACCCACTAAAGTAGGAATACATCCTGTAAAAAAAAGTCCGACTCATCCTTGGGAATAATTTCCAGAAGCTTGAAGATGCCAAATTCAGCAGTTCAAGCAATTATACGCAAATATAGACATGATGGGAATGTCTGACCGTCTTACAGTTCAGAAGGGAGACGGGTTCTGGTCCAAAATGTGTAGACTGACTCCAGAACAGAAGCCCAAGGCCTTGTGAAGATGCTGCTGAAGTTGGTAAGACAGCCATGGTCAAATTTGTCTTGAGCCAAAGGCCGCTCAGCGAGGAAGAAGCCATTACTCCAACTTGAAGTTTGCAAATGTCCACAGGGACAAAGACCTTCATTTTGGAGACATTTCCTGTGATCTGATGAAACTTAAAGGGATACTTGTACCAGCCTAGCTGTGAAGAATGGTGGTGGCAGCATCATGCTCTTTTGCTATAGGAGGAACTGGTACACTTCATAAATTGATAGCATCAAGAGGAAACATTATTCCAGATGGACGATGATGATGATACTCAGCATTCAGCCAAAATGGCTACAAAGTGACGTAAGTACAGCAAAGTGAAAGTTTGAACCAAAACTCCAGCAACTATTGTGAGAAGCTTGAGGACAGAAACCCAAAACATTTGACCCAAGTCACCGTTCAAAGGCAATGCTACCAAATACAGAGGAAATGAATGTAAACGGTGGTCTTACTTGTGGTCCAGGCCGTCCTGGTGAGCCAGCTCCGCCTCCGTACCGGGGGTCATAATAACCGCCGCCTGGTTCTCCTTTCTCTCCTTTCAAACCCACTTCACCTTTCAACTCATTCTGGGCAAAACCAAAATGATTTTCACTTAAAAACGAACTGATTTAAACTGCAACGCAGTTAGAATTATGGACATGGTGGGTGATTTTACCTTTAAAGTGTAAAAGTCAAAGCCTGTTCCCAGACCTGAAGAACAGAGACACACACTGTAAATATTTACCTCTTATTGTATTTGCTCCATATATATGAACATCAACTAATGCTACCTTGAATTTCAAGTATTCCTGGTGGTCCGGGATCGCCTTTCTCTCCTTTAACTGTGCAAAAAAGGAGGAACGATAATATAAATAGCAGCAAATTTGTGAAAGTTTGATTTGCATGAAAGAAAATCTGAAACTTTACCTGCGTAATTCCTTGAGTACTTGTCATACCCCTAAAACAAAGACAGGAAGCAGTCAGAGACAAAGTCATTGTTCCTTGATCTAAATGGAAATCAGATGTCTCGACCCAACTCACGCCTGGAGGTCCAGGAGGTCCGGGGGGCCCCGGAGGTCCTGGGGTGCCCTGAGAAACACCAAGCAATGATTAACGTCTTCATGACTCACTTGTTCCAACACCAAAGCTTTTCAAAGCACTTACAGGGTAACCGTATCCAGACCCACCGCCAGAGTCTCCCTTCTCTCCTTTGACCCCGTTTAATCCTGGTCGACCCTGAAACATTAGTCACACTTCAGACATTTTCTTATTTTCATAAAAACAATAGTTTAAAAATGTTCCTTAATACAACAGAAACATACTGATCTCCCAGGGATACCAATCTCTCCTTTTGGTCCAGAAGGACCCCGGGGACCCTGGAGAAATAGTTACTCTTGTCACACTTGCACAATTCTGGTATCTTGTCAAACAGATGAAAACGTATTAAATCAGTACATACAGGAGGTCCCACTGGGCCAGGACTTCCTCTCTCACCCTGCGAATCAACATCAACAGTCACTTTATTTCTTAATTATATCCAATTCATGCCCCAGTGGGTCAATTTCTGATACTTCAGATCGAAGAAAGCCAAAAAAACAGAGGATGTTTTGCATTGGAGTACCGGCTGTCCTGTCAGGCCTCCCAGATATGACGGTCTCCCATCAGGTCCCATGATAATGCCAGGCTCTCCTTTCTGTCCCTGCAAGATGAAAAGTACACATTTTCTCTCAAAACATTTAAAATAAGAGCAAAAATCCTCTGGTAACTCCCTTGATAAGCCCAAGACCCTTCAAAAACCCTCCAGGAGTTTCTGACACTATCTGTAGTGTTTCTTTTTTGAGATATACAATAAAACCTTTCTGTAAAGAATTTGAACCACCATTAATTCAAAGTTGTATTTGTGAAATTAAAGTCATTTTTACATAAACCTCACTACAAGGACTGTCTCACCTTAGGAGCATATCCTGGAGCACCAGCGTCCCCTTTGTCTCCTTTGGGCCCCGCTGGTCCCTGAATCAAAAGACGTACCTCCATTACTTTAAGTTGAATGCTTGTCTCAACAAAGTGAGGTTGGTAGATGCATTGATACGTACTGGGAATCCTGCGCGCCCTGATCCGCTCTAAAGGAGGAGGAGAGACGGCTCATTAAAGACAGAACAGCCTGGCTCTTAGTAAATGAAGTTAAAAGTCAGTGAGTTTTAGTTTAGTTCAGGGAACTGGGGGAGCATGAACTCACCTGTCCCAAATCGTTCCAATAAACCTCGTTAAACTAGCAAGACAAAGTTAGGTTAGTTAGTAACAAGCAGTGAGGCAGGCAGTGACCGTGCAGTGAAGGAGGGAGAGGATGATGAAAAGTTGAAGGGTTAATTTCATTTTCCAATTAATGTAGATTTACAGTTGGAGCTCTGACTCACATCTGTTGACCCTTGCTGGTAGAGAATCTGTCCTGGTTGTCCAGGCGGTCCGGGTGGCCCAGGTGGTCCACCATCTCGACCTGGACGACCCTGAGTTCAGAATAAACACACAAATTTAAGAAAGAGCAAAAATATTTTTTCATGTGAACTTGGGTTAACGCTTACTGAATGTGTTGTGGTTTAAGATTAAAGCACATTAAGACCTGCAAAACGTCACATTTAAGTTAAAAATAAGATTCTGAAATGGCATTTTAGCATCTGTGTTTGAACAAATAACACAAAAAAAGAAAACAAAAGAGGTCTGAACGTAGAACAAATATTTAACAGGAAGGTATTTTCCTTGCAGATAACAATAAAGTTAGACAGGACAAAGACAGGATTTCCAAATATTTTTCAGTAAAAATTTCCAGACATTTCTCAATAGACTTAACCATTTGGAAACAAATTTTATTGTGCCGATCTTAACCTATTGGTTACTTCACCCGCACACCTCGCCACCTTCTTGCTGCTATTGCAAATATCAACAAACCACCGTCACTTCCTTCTTCATACAGTACTGCGGTTTCTCTGAACCCGTCAAGTTTTCTCTAGAGCCATAGACTTTTCACCTACACTCTTACAGCAAACATTTAAACCATTTGGTCTCACCAATCAAATGAACCTCCTTCAATCAATCCCTCTAAAGGAAACTCACCGTCTCTCCCTTGTCTCCTTTCTCTCCCTGTTTACCCTAAAGAAATCAGCACAAGTAGAGATTAGTATCTTAAATAACACATTTAATTATTATGTGTCTGGAAATATTGCGTGATGAAGATGCTCAGTACTGGTGTTCCAGGATATCCATCAATGCCTGGAATCCCAGGAGGTCCCCTTGGTCCCTCTGCTCCTTTAGCTCCGTGGTCCCCTGGAAAACCTGGCTTACCCTACAAACCATATTGAAACATTTTTACATTTAATTTTAACTAATAGATAAAATAAATAAAGTAGGGCATAGATGGCCTTTAAGGGAACTTAGCTGGACCAGTTATTCCTGATTTGTATGGTTAGCATTGATGCTAATGGACAACAAAGCACAACAGCACTAATGTGGAAAAACATTTTTCAACATTTATTTAAAAAGGTTTTGCAGTTAGGATAGTTAAATAATTGAACACAAAGAGTTTAAATAAATAAATGGAGGTAAATTGCTTATCTATAATAATTAGATAATATTTTTAACACTACAGCACAGACAGGCAAATCTTGTAAAAATCAATCTGGTGTTGTTTTTTTTTTAGTTTGAGTTTGTGAAGGTTTTTCTGGAAAATTTGTCACAAAAAATAATCACAGTTTTGTTTACAAAATAAATCTGAAGATGAAAACCCGCATATTTTTTCACTACAATTAATTTTAAAAAAGATATAAAACATTAATGAGAGAAATATTAATTGATGGAAACATACAGGACGTTTTATGTAAAAATCCTTTGGAAACATAACCAATCAAATAAGCCAGGTTGAAACCAGAAATAAAATATTTTTTTTCTGCTAAAAACAATAGTTTTTAAATATTTTTATTTACTACAAATATTTTTTGACAACACTACAATTTCCAGAAAGTGACCTTTTGGTTGTACTTTACAAACTTTATCATGTTTTCTTATCCTACGAGCTTCAAAAACTCAATCTGCAGTGTTTACAAGAGCAGCTAAAGAAAACGCACCACAGGAATTAATTTCCATTACTTACAGGCAGACCAGCAATGCCAGGTGGACCCTGAAAACACGATACAGTTCAGATCAGGTAGCATAAGGTATGGATGACGTAATCAGAGAGCGAACTTTGTCCAATATGCTACCTGTGGTCCAGGTGGACCTCTGAGGCCAGGCAGGGCATTTAGGACCTCATTTTGGTTCCCCTGCATGGAGAAAATGTAAATTAGAAAGGATATTTGAACAGTTTTACACTTTTGTGATTAAGATTTTTTAATCCTGCCTTAGAAAAGGATTAAATTTGAAACCGTTACTCACACTGCCAGCAAGGTACGGTGGCCCCGGTGGTCCAGGAGGCCCTGGAGGCCCGACTGGTCCCATGGGACCTGGAAGTCCTGCCAAACCAGACTGTCCAGGTGTACCCGTCCTTCCCGCATCGCCCTGACCACCCTGAGTCAGGATTACAAGCAGAAATGTGATTTTGTGTCTTGGAAAATTATGTTAGACAATTAATATTTGTGACTGAAAGGAGAAAAATTAGAGGAAAACAGAAAGAAGTCATTCAAAAAGTGGAAAATGGGAGGCAGATTTCATAATATCTAGACAAACGAAGAAGAAATAGAGCTTTGTTTGAAACATTGCCATCTTTATGGAAATAGAAAACGTTAAAAAGCAAAGCAGACCAGCAGAGAAGAAACCCAACCCAGTACCTGCTACCCATTACACACCGTAGAGGACGGAGCAAAGAAAGAGAAGAGGTAATTGAAAGGGTTGGAGTCCGTTGTGTCTTGCTAGAAGAAAGCAACAGAGAATCTGTGTGGTTTTGCAGCAGTATTTCCTATAATCTATAATAGGTAAACAAATCTTTATGCATTACATTTTTAACTATTTTAACTAACCTTTTCCCCAGCTGGACCTGGAAGGCCAAGGTCACCACCGTCACCCTAAATAATAGAAATTAAAACATTATTGCTAGAGGGGAAATGCATCATAAAAGCAGGAGGTTTCATTAGCAAGCAGAAAATGAAAACGCTGACATGGCTACAGACAACAGGAGGCGCTGTTGTCAACCATAACATTGAAAATGAACTACAGTACCTAGATCCCACAACCACCAGTAAGAAGTACTGGTTTGTGTCTGGTTAAACGGTGCCTTACAGGATAACGTAAACGCGCATTTTCATGACTGAGATTTGAGGATGAGAACATACCAGCACTGACAGTTCAAATCAGAAGTTTGCATAGACTGAATAAAAAGAAAAATCAGACTTTTTCAATGTCCGAAGTAAAAGCAGAAGAAATTAGTCTTGTTTTACATCATTTACAATTACCAAATTATGTTCATTTGCTGCAATAATGAGACTATGTGTCAGACGTCATGGCTTTGGAAACGTAGAACAATTATACGCAAGGATTGACATGATGTGACTTTTCTATCACACCGTTCAGGAAGTAGACTGGTTCTGGTCCAAAAAGTGCAAATTGATGCCCGAACAAAAGCCAAAGACCCTGTGAAGATCCTGCTGATGCTGCTCAGTGTCATCATCCACAGCGAAACATGTTCTGTACCGACATGAGCTGCAAGGCCACTCAGTGACAAAGAAGCCATTACTCCAAAAAGAAACATAAAAAGCCAAACTGTGGTTTGCAAATGCACAAAAAATACTTTCTGGAGTCACCTTGTGGCCTGAAGTGGACCTGATTGACCAGTATGACCATGGCTACATTTGGAGGAAGAACTGGGACATTGTACCATCCTAACTGTGAAGTATGGGGGTGGCGGCAACATGTTGTGGGTCTGTTTTGCTGCATAAAGTAGACAGCATCATGAGGAAGTGGAAATATTGGTGCAACTTCTACAAACATGAGCAAGGAAGTTAAAGCTCCAGCATATCTTTTTATCCAGGATATGTAAAGTTCTGGTTTGTCGTTTATCAGAAATAGGAGTTTCTTTCTAAATAATTTTAATGTTGGTCAGACCTAAAAAAAACTGAAGCAGCCATTACTACCTTGTGGAACCCCTTTAGTCTGATGTAGAAAAACAACAACAGACTTTTGTGCCAAATATTTCTGGCACAAATGTAGACGATAATCAGTTTTACCTTTTCTCCTCTGAACCCGGGTCTACCAGGGAGGCCAGGAGGTCCAGGTGGGCCCTAGAAAGAACAGAAGTGGAGATTTACACCCTTTAGCTACTAAGTAATCAAACACAATACAATGAAATAAAATTGGCTTCTCACTGGTAGGCCAGGCACTCCGTCTTGTCCAGGCGGCCCAGGAGGTCCAAAGGCTACTGGACCATCAGGTCCGATGGCTACTGAAGTACCAGGTGTCCCAGGACGGCCGGGCGGACCAGGAGGTCCAGGAGGACCAGGTGCACCCTGCCCATCACATTTCACAACCGTCATTCTGGGATATTTTTGAACTCCTTTCTTAATGTTGAACAACTTACCCGGAAAGTTTCCAGGTCTGGGAATCCTGAACCCTCCATGTCAACAAATGTCTACAGAAACATTCACTGTGGTTGGATTATTATGTTTTTACAAGTATTGGCTAGAAAGGTGGATATTTTCACATACTGGACGATCACCAGTGCCAGGTCCTGGAGGTCCTGGAAGACCTGGGGGACCTCTTGGTCCAGGGGAACCCTCTCCAGGTTCACCCTGGAATGATTCGGAGATGACAAATTATTACTGTAAATAGAGACGTAGCATGATTAGCATAATGGCTTCATGTATCGCACCTTTTGGCCTTTCATACCAGCTGCTCCTGGAATTCCTGGAATACCCTGCGGTCCAGCAGGACCCTAAAAATCATAAAAGTGAAGACGTAGATGGATAAATAATCAGTCGATTGAGTGAAAAGTTCTGCTAAAAAGACACTTACAGCTTTTCCATCCTCTCCTGGATCACCCTAAAGGAAAAGGAAATGGTCACAAACTAATATTTTTATTTAACCTTTTTTAATTTCTTGGACTTACAGGCTGTCCATCAGCCCCTTGAGGTCCTTCAGCCCCATCCAGCCCTGGTGGCCCGGGTGGTCCAGCTGGACCAGCCAACGGCTGCACAACAGAGCCGTCGCCGAGTCGAATAACCTCAGCCGCAGGGCCTGGAGGACCGGGAGGACCTGGAGGCCCCTGAACGCCACGTTCACCCTTTTTGCCAGGGTATCTAAAACCAGTATCACCCTGGAGAGAATAACAGGCAAGCAAGCTTTCAGATGTTTGGTTTTACTTTGTTTAGATCTACATCACTGATGGTTCCACTGATAGCTCCTCTTTCACCGTCACAGTTCTCTTTCTGTTACCAATCAACCCTGATACGTACCCCCATCCACTCCACCATGCCAGCATTCGCTTCTTCTCTAAACCTTCACTTTGAAAATTACAGTACCATTAGTACCTCTACTCCCCAAAACTTCACTGTTCAGCCTCTCTTCATACATCCTTTCCTTATTGTTTCACATCTATTTGGAAAATGTTTATACCATCTATAAAATATTTAACAGAAAATGCAAGTTGGGATGCTGAAATACCCAGACACAATGTTGCTTGGCTGCAAAGCTCAAAAGCATAGAGGAACAGTGTGGACGTTAGCTGTAGTGCTAAGACAGTTTCCATTGTGAGTATTGATGGATATCAAGGTGTATTTGGTGTTTTAACTATTAAAATACTATTTTTAGGAGAGGTCTCATGTGTATGCAAATTCCAGGTATTTATAGTGACTGTGGTTCCCAATTCACGTAAATTTCTGATGTAGCATCAGAAAAAGTAAGAATCCACTACCCCAAAATCCAATAATGCAGTTCACATACCTTTTTACCTTTTTCTCCCTAGAAGGAAAAAAAGAAAACTGGTTATTTGTGTCAGATGTCAATGTTAACTTAGAAATGAGAGATTTCTTACTTTGTCTCCTTGCACACTACCCTGAGAGGAAAAACTTGAGCCTGAGCTGCTGCCTGAATCCCCCTTTGGCCCTGCAGGGCCTCTGTCCCCTTTCAGGCCTTTCTCTCCTCTGTCGCCCTTCTCACCTGAAGAAGAGCAACAATTTAGCCTGTTTGGAGCACGGTTCTGCAGGATGTAAATGTAAAAGGCAATGCTTTTTCATCAAATTGTTTCAAATGAAACCCTGAACCTCAAAAATCTCATCTCCAAAAAATATTTTTCACTTAAGATAATGGCTAATTAACTAATCAAGGTATCAACTTACAAAGCTAGCAGCTAGCAAAGTTAGCAGTGAATTATTGTGTTGCGTTATTGTGCCGCTGGGTGATCTCCCCAACCTCCCATCATAGCCTAATTAAATGCTAATTAGGCTAGCGTTTTAACAAGCTAACGACTTTATAAGGTTGACCTCTACTCAAGCTAACAGCTGCACCATCTTACTTATAAAATATTTGACTATTCAAGCTAATAACTAGGAAAGCTAGCATCTAGCGCAATCAACTAATGGGTCTAAAAGCTGAATAAAGTAACTACAAAGCTAATATGTTACCCAAACTAATCATAACTCAAGCTGAGAATCAAGACTGCTAACCTTTACACATGCTAAATCTACCAAGGCTGGCTACAAGCCAGTGCTAGCAGCTAATAAAGCTAACTTAGCTACTTAAGCTAACAGCTACTTAATCCTGAAAATACATATATGCATTAAAATGGGTTCAGATGGGTTCAAACAAGTTTTAAAATCCCAAAATGCAACCATGATGCCCCAATCTGAAGAAATTTAAAGCTAGAAACACTCATTAATATCCATTTGTCCACAAAGGCTGACAAAGATATTTCTAACGTTTTGAGACTAAATGAACAACAGTGAGAGACATTGTCTGAAATATGAAGCATAAGAAAACCTTCCCAGAGTGGCCTACCTTCAAAAATTACCTGCATCTCACCTTTATGCAGAATGCACAAAGATAACAAAAGGAATCAAATATTTTTCATTCAGAATTAACAACCAAGCATTGGTGCAATGCAAAAGGGATAATCACTACATTTGACAACCCAGAGTAAACATACGCTAAGCTAACTTTTAAACACAGAAGTTGACCTTTTCGGCTCTATGGCTTGTTATGAGTGGCATATTTAATGCTCCACTTACTGATTACAACTGACAAACTTGGCGTTTGGAGCAAAACTTCATTCTCAGGTCCAGACAAGTTGTGTCAGTGCATATTTCAGCTGATGAGACTTTGACTCTACATGAGTAATCTGGCAGAGGATACTGTACTCTGAAGAAACATTTCTTTTTAACATTTTCAAACCGTTCAAAAACTTGGAAAAAACTATTTCCAAGTTGAGTTTTTATTCTTTTCACCTGAGGTTCCTCTTCTGCCTCCTGATTGGGATGAAATCGGGGGTACAGGTACTGGACGGAGGGGTGGAAAAGTGGTCTGAGAAAAGCAAAAACAATGCCAAACTAGAAGTTACTTTATCCTAGATATATATGCGGAAAAACATCAACGCAACTACATCAGATATTTATTATTCCAGCTAAAAAAATCTGTAAAGAAATCTGCAAACCAACCGTTTTAGTGTTGTCTTTCCGTCTCCTGTCAGCTTCTTTGTTGCCACCATCACCAGAACCCTGACATGAAAAGAAACGTGTCAAACAGATGTGTTTGTTCACTTAAATTAAGATTTTTAAAGAAGCACTCACTTCATCAGGGTAATCCTCATAGTCACAGAAACCCTGAAATGCCTGAGGGTTTCCCACAAGTCTTAGCTCTCCAATGTCACCCTGAAAAGACACAAACGACTGATAAGCAATCAAGTAAGACAACAGAAGCATAAATTTGTAAAATTCTAGTTAACAATTAGAACTAAGAAGTAGCTTGAAGTCTATAATAATTACTGAATATAATGTATTCTTATGAGTTCCTCTCTGGTTAATGTTATACTTTTTAAAAATATATATATATATATTTAGATTTATTTATTTAATACTCTAGTGTTATATATCGAAGTTGTCATGACTTCCTAAGTCCCATGGATGGCAACAGGTGGTTTGTTTCCTGAAAGCACTTTCTACTTAATTGTTTGAAAAAAAAGTTTATTTCCAGCAAAAATATGGACAAAACAATAACTAGAAAACTCTTACAACAAAAGTTGACTTAATTTGATGCCACAAGTTCAAAAAATGAAAACCACACTGGACATTTGGCAAACATCCATCACACCCGACGGTGTATTCTTAATCTCTTAAAATAATGGGAAGGTGCAAAAGTTACCAAAGTAATCCAAGCAATTCCAAATATAACAATTAATTAAAAATTTTGGTTCAAAACTAAAGTATATTCTAACTTCTCAAAGAAACCTAAATTGCTAGAATTTACAAAAATTCAACCTAAATGGCCAAAATACAGTAAAATCTGGATTCGTCTGAGTAGAAGTCAAAGTTCAGACCTCAAGCTCGTTGTAATGCTGAGGTGGGACTGAAGATAATCTGGATTAGTGCGCACAAAAGTCTGCAAAACTCAATGAACTGAGTCAACTTTCTATTTTATTCTAGAAGAATGAAACAGTGATATGAGCCACGATTTAACAAAATACGTCCAGAAATGCCAGAACATGAGCCGTGGAGCAACAGAGCAAGGAAGCAAACAGAAGGAACAAGTGACAAGTAACGAGTCTGAGAGGTAAATATTCAGAGGAGGAAGTGGCGACGACAAAGGAACCAATTAGGGAAACTAACTGCAGCGAATGAGGCTTGAGGAGGTAAATGACTAGAATCTGGGGAACGGGAGTAAAGAATGACACTAGAGGGAAACCTAAACAGAAAGTCTAGCAAAATAAATCCAACACATAGAATAACAATCTAGACCAACAGAAGGAATAAACTAGAGTGAAATCATACAGAAGCAAACAAATCCAAAACCTCAAATACCTGAACCAACCGAGGGAATAAACTAGAATGGGGTAAATAATGGAGAAAAAGAGACAAAAGAGGTTGGATATAGTTTTCAACTGGTTGCTAGCTCTGGATTTTCATCCAACAATATCCAAGAAGATAAACTTGTGGTACCAAGGAAATTATATAAATTTTTACCTTAAACT